GTGGGTATCAATTTAAAAAACTTTATTTAAGTGAAAACTTATTTCGAGGGAACCGCCTCCTCCTCGGGGCAAAGTAGCGTAAACTACTGAAAAATTCACGGCTTATAAAACAGTTTCACCACTTTTCTCAAATATGTATGTGATTTTGCCTCGCGTGTGTAACCTCTTCTGTTGTAGCCGATTGAATTTTTAAGACCAGGGAGGGGATGTGAAATACCAACGGCATGAATCATCCATTTTAAGGATAGTCACGTTTCGATATTTTCGATAGGACGAGCGTGGATTAAAAAAATGAAGGAGGAGAGTAAAACACATTACATCAATGCAAGCAACGTGGTGCGGCAATTTAAAATTGTGAATGACTCACGCCGTTATCAATGGCCTATCTGATGTCGCTAAATTCACCAAATGCGAGTGTCGGTTTTCGTGCTTTGCTCAAATACACCGGCAGCTTATTACAGAATAGATATATCAACAGCTACCCGAGTCAAAATTTTGGTACTATTTTGGCACTTTAGGTCCAGTTTCATAAACGTCGGTTAACTGTTAACCAGAGTTCAGTCGACTTCCTATCTTTCTCTATCTTGTTATCCAAGAAGAGACAGAGGATTAATTAACCATGGGTTAGCGGTTAAACGACGTTTGTGAAACTGGCCCTTAAGGATATTTTACACCTACTTAGCTGATCTATATCCTTACATAGATCAGCAATAACCTACTTTGATGACATTATATCTTTTAGTCCTCCCTTGAATCTTTAATTCTAACGACTTACTTTAGCTCCTACTTAAAAGGACCTACTTTAATGCTAAATTGGCAAAAGTAGAAATTTCCGACACTACCAGTTTTAAAGTAGAAGTAAATTGTGTACTTGCAGTTCGACCTCTTTTACTGTCTCAGGTCCTAGTGTATAATAGAATTAAAGGTTCAACATCGGGCCGAGTCGAAATTTTGGTACTATTTTGACACTTTTAAGGATAATTTACACCCACTTAGCTAATCTATACACTTACATAGATCAGCAATAACCTACTTTGATGACATTATATTTTTTTACTCCTCCCTTGAATCTTTATTTCTAAAAATTTACTTTAGCTCCCACTTAAAAGGACCTAGTTTAATGCTAAATTGGCAAAGGTAGAAATTTCCGACACTGTCAGTTTTAAAGTCGGAGTAAATTTTGTACTTGCAGTTCGACCTCTTTTACTGCCTTAGATCCTACTATATGTATAATAGATTTAAAGGTTCAATATAGAGCCAAAATTTCGACTCGGGTAGTCTTCATAGGTAGACCTTTCGACGAATTTAGAATTGAATCTTTTCAGGCGTGGATCCGATCGGACATACTACTCTCTTCCACGTAACATTATCGCTTTTCTAAAGGCCTGTGTCCACGAGACCAGAACTTGGGCCAAGTTCCGGCAACGTGGACGCAGGCCTTAACGAAAGGGGTCTGATATGAAAATTAAAACTAACGCCACGTCGAAATATGTTCCGCGTTACATCTCGCTTTTCCGCATTGGGCTCTCTCGTGACTTGTTTATTCGACGAGAGATAACGCGATACACTTCTCGACTGTCGCTCCTATAACGTCCGGTAAAAAGAAAACCTTAAATATTTTTCGGGCGAGCTGCGGTCTCGCGGCAGGCATTTCAAGAAGGCGACCGGCGGCGTAGGAACCGCACGAATATTCACCCACAAGAGCAAGTATTCAAAGATGAATCACGCGAGAGCGGTTTCTGGAAATTCTTTCGCCCGCCCCGGCGGCGTCGTCGAAAAGAGATCTCTTTCCTACACTTTACTCTCCATTTATTCACTCCGGGCGAACATTTCGGGGAACGGTCAAAATTTATATCCCTTTTTTCTATTTTTTCTTGACCCTTCCTCTCCTTCCCTCTTTCTTCCCCTCTTCCAGGCAAACGTGGACTACGAGATAAGTTTATCTATCTTTTCAAGTGTACACAATCTCTGATATTAGCAGCCGATGAAAGCTAATTACTAGCTTGTCACGAGTGATATAATCGTCGGCGATGACATCGAACGAGCTGTTAATGCGAGGCTATTACTAACAAAGTCGTCATTACGAATAGGTAATAACGCGCCAGCGAAATATCGCGGCTCGCATAAACCGTGCAATGAGCCGAGCGCCGTAGGATTTTCCGCATGAACGCTTTTGCAGCAACAACCGCCGGCCATCACGGCTGGAAAACGCAATGTTTCCCCGAGCGTTTCGTTTCGCGCGCGCGACGAAACGCTATCCAAGATGTTGCGCTCCGAGCGCATCAAAGCTGCAAAGCGGTTTCGCTGTGTCAGCCCGCCTGATATTTCGTCAGCTCGGCAAAAGATTTCTCTGTTGAGAAACTCGCCGTCTCTGAGAAACGTCGGCGAGGAGGTATCTTTTAAATACCGGGGGCGAGAGAGAGAACAGGTTTACACTTTTCGGCGAATTTTCAATTCGAGAAGGCGCCGAAGAGCTTCCGTAAGGTTTTCGATTATAGAAAACTTTGCTACACTGAAAAAAATTTCTGGTTGAATATGAACGAATCAGATAATTCCTTTAGGATTTACCAGAATTCCTTTAGGATTTACCAGAATTCTTGTAATCCTACAGAAATTCTGGTAAATCCTAAAGGAATTCTGGTAAATCCTAAAGGAATTATCTGATTCGTCCAAATTCAACCAGAAATTTTTTTCAGTGTAGAAAAGAAAAAAAGGAGAGCGCTCCGAGTCGAAATTTCGGTACTATTTTGAGGGGGAAACCGCGGAGGGCAGTGTGGTGTACAGATTTGCGGCATTACTGGGCATTACTAGGCATTTTTTGGACATTTGTTTAAGCATTAGATCTTGCATTATAAAGATAAAGCGAGGGGGAAATCGCCGACCAAAATCTTGTACACCAATGCCCACTAATTGCCCAGTTAATCTTATTTTATATTTATGAGGCTCCAGCAAGGCCTAATGCCCAAAAATGCCTAGTAATGCCCAGTAATGCCGCAAATCTGTACACCTCAGCGATTTCCCCTCGAGATAAAATAAGATAACATTAAACAAGATAAATAAGATTAAATAAGATAATAAGATAAAGTGTTATGCTCACTGGGCATTAGTGGGCATTGGTGTACAAGATTTTGGTAAGCGGTTTCTCCCTCAATTTTGACACTTTTAAGGATAATTCACACCTACATAGACCAGCAATAACTTACTTTGATGACATTATATTGTCCTCCTCCCTTGAATCATTAATTCTAAAAATTTACTTTAGCTCCTACTCAAAAGGACCTACTTTTGCCAATTTAGCATTGAAGTGGGTTTTTAAAAGCTTTAAAAAGTAGGAGTAAATTGTGTACTTGCAGTTCGGCCTCTTTCGCTGTCTCAGGTCCTAGCGTATAATAGAATTAAAGGTTCAACACAGGACCAAAATTTCGACCCGGGGGACGAAAGAGATCGTCGCAAATTTCCCCAAAGTTTTCCTAGAAAACACCGCGTCGTTTTTCTATTCGGATCGAGCGGCGCGACCGGGGCGTTTAATTTTACAATTCAAAGGGGGGTAAAAAATAAATATCGCGCTGTTTGCGATTAATAATTGCGAGAAAACACGTCGAAGCTTCGCGGGTGGAACATCAATATTTGCGGGCTTCCGGTCTACGTACAGTAGCGTCAGTATGTAGAACCGCACGGTATTATGCCACTGCCGCGATAATCGGGAGAGCGTTAGCCTCTGCCGATGTTAGAATCATTGTTTTCAGCACGCGGCAGACGTCATTAGTCACACAAGCTCCCTCCGCCGAGCGCCCGAGGGGCTGATAACTTCTAATTTCGCAGCGCAACGCTGCAGATTGCGGGTAAACACTGCTCGCGGCTCGATTCGTAAAAACGCTGGGCCACGTGACGCGACGTAGCGTGTCGTTTTCTTTATCCTTATTTTTTTTTCCCTTTGCGAGATACACGAGTTCGCGTGTCCTTTCGTCGCTCCTGGCGGCATTCCGGAATCTTTTCTCGGCGCGGCGTTTTTATCTTATCTCCTTTTCGGCGTCTCGACGAATTTATGCGAAATAAAACTGTATTCTTCGCACTGTATGCGAAATCGCGATAAATATTTAACAGTTTTTTTTTCAAGTTTCTTAATCCATTGTGCGTACGTGCTTTGTCTACATTCGCGGTGAACAAGTCTTTCAACGGTTTGAGAATTTTCTTAGCGCGTCACGCTTCGCGCCGTAAATCGCGGAATATTCGCGACAATCGAGCGAGAAATTATTTCTCTTAGAATTAACCTCGCAGCGCGGTCTCTCGCAGATCGGTGCCGCTTCCGGCGTTTCTTCGCGAAGAATTAATTCGACGTGTAAAAATAACATCGCGACAAAAGTAACGTAACGCCTTTGAGAACCGGGAAGCGCTCGGCGTGGCGAGCGTCGCTCCCGTTCGGGAACGAGGTCCATTCTAAAATTGTCTAAAACGGATTTTCATATTCGCGCGACGTATGAATGGCGTCCCGCGATTCTCGCGGCCTTAATTGTAACGGCAGGCCGCCTTGATTTAGAGTCGACTTTTCCCCGGCGAAAACGTCGAGGGAGGTCGTCGTTCATCTTTCACTTTTCGCCTCGAGTTACGGCGTGTCTTCGTAAGCCGTGGCGTCGAATCGCAATCACGTCGGATCGCACTTAAAGAATTAACCGAGGCAATACGCGACTTTGTTCTTTATTCGCGCGCCCCAGACTCAAGTCCACCAGGCATCCCCCTCTCTCTCTCTCTCAGTCGCCCTCGACGACCGTCGGCGTCCCTCTGCCTTTCGCCGCGGAAAAATCGATGATAATTTTATCAGGAAACCCGCCGCCAAGATCAACGTCGCAGATTCGCGGGACGCTCGGACGATAACGAAACGCTACGTCTGCGCGTCAAATCTCGTCTGACTTTCTGAAAAAGTGTAGGCATCGCTCATCCCCCCCTCCCCCTCCCTCTCGAGAAACGACTTAACCTCCCCTCCCCCTGCCCCTGGGACTCACCGAGACGAAGCTCCCCGAAGTTTCCACAGCCAATTTTCTTGCCGACCCGGAAGTTCGGGCCGACCATGAGCACGCCGGAGGACGAGGTGACGCTGTGCCGGGACGAGTGCACGTTCGACCGGGCGGCGTTACCGCTGCCCCTGGAGGTCCGTTTGGCGACCTCCTGGTCGCGCTCGGAGCTGCGCGCCCCGAGCTCCTTGTCGCCGCGATTATCCCTGCTGTCCCGCTTCTGCATCTCGTACCGGCCGTTGTTATCCACGGTTGCGGCGATTTTCCTATCGATACACGATCCAACTGGGCGCACACCGATTTCTCACCACACTCGCGCCGACGGCGACAATGACGACGACGGCGGCGGCGGCGATGTCAGTTTTGGGTCAGTGACGGGGATCGATCCCCGTGCGGGGCATATCCCGCGCGCCCCTGGGAAGCGCGGACGACGGGCACGACGGGCACGACACAGACGCCGCGCGGCACACTCGCCGCAGTTCCCGCAGGCGGAAAAGGGCACGCGCGGGCGCGGTGTACACCGTTGTAGGGCGCGGAAGGGTAGGACGCGCGCGGGTGGCGGCGACAGAAGGGAAGGGAAAGGGGGAGGGGGGAGACGAAAGAAAGAGTGGAGAGAGGGTGCCGAGGGGGCTGGCTGGCTGATTGTCAGAGTTCGACGGACGATGCCACCTCACGGGGATCAATCCCCATGCCAGCCTAACCTCTCGCCGTGCGGTCTCGTCCCCCTCGCCAGCGCCGGGCGACCGTTTAGCAGCGATCGACGGGACGTGGGACGCGGACGTGGAAGGGCGCGGTGCGTCGCGGCACGCCGAGGAAGCGTATCTGAGGTGCTCCTACTCGCGGTTCGGACGATGGTCGGCGAACGTCACGGCAGCGGGAGGAATCGAGCGGTCGTTGCGGCGTGGTGCGGCCTCGCCGTACCGGACGATCCCATAGCAATTTCGAGCCGCCTCTCGCGCCCGGCGGCGGCCGCCGGGATGATGCCGGGTGCCGGAACAGTCGACGACAGAAATCGCGCGGCTCACGCTCTGAAGACGCGGCACAGCACGGCATTACAGTGGCGGTGGTCGTAGCGGTGGTGGTGGAGGTGACAGTGACAGTCGTTGCTGCGCACGGTTGCGCCGTTGTCGCTCCTGCTGCCGCTGTTGTTGTTGTTGCTGTCGCAGTCGCTGCTGTTGCCGCTCCCACTCCTGCTGTTGCTGCTGCCGGTGCTGCTGGTACTGCCGAGAGCGCGCCTCGCGGTCGTCGGCACCTCCATTACGCGCCGCGCGGAGCGCCGCGGGGATTTACCTGAGCGAGCGAGTCGCGGGCGCTCGCGACTCTCGCTGGCCACCGACGCTTCTACTCCGGGCTATCCGTCGACCACTCGGCGCGACGCGGCGACGACTCCTTCCACCCTCGGGGGCTCGACTCTCTCGGCTCGGCGCGACGGACCTCACTCGGCTCCGCGCGCGACCCGCGGTTCCGTTCGTAGCGCGACTCACGAAGCGCGGCTCCGTCCACCGATCCGCCGCAGACAGGCAACGGCGGGGCGTAGCGATTCCCTAGGCGCGCACGCGCGTCCCCTCGTGCATCCCACACCTACGTGGATCCGCACGCGCGCGCGCGCGCGCGAGCGCGCACGCACGGCTCTCCGCTCCCGGTGTCTCCCGCGCGTGAAAATTGGCGCTCGCGCGTCTCCCCGCGATCCACCCACGCGCCGTGTCGATTGTCAATGACGCGAGCGCTTCCGATCGGTCCTCGCACGCGTGCACTCGCGCTCGCTTTCTCTCTCTCTCTCTTTTCCTCCTTCTTTGTCACTGCCGCTACAACACCGGACTTGCGGACCGCGAGCGTGCCGATCTCTCTTTCCTCCCTCGAGACGACGTGTGTGTGCTCCGCACTGCTCCGCCGGATGTACAGCTGGCCGTGGCGGTGCGCGCACGCGCAAGTCGCTCTCACGTTTTTATTTTTATGTTTTTATGTACGGAGCCATCTCCGCACGGCCGAACGGTGCCCCGGTGAAAACTCGTCCTCACCCCCGATCAAACGCTCGCGGACCACAGGCCAGCGCACCTGCCTAGTGCCTATCGCGCTCGACGTGGGTGAAGCGAGTTGCTATGCAACAGTGTTGTCGTTTCCAGCACTTTCCCCTAACTTAAAATACCCCAGACACCTCATAAAGGCCTGTGTCCACGATGCTCGGTCCAAGTTCTAAAGCCCAATGTCCACGATGCTAGAACTTGGTCCAAGTTCTAATTCCGAGAAATGTGTAGCCAATGAACTCGCAGCTATTCCATAAAAGCTGCAAGTTGATTGGCTATACATTTCTCGGAACTAGAACTTGGATCAAGTTCTAGCATCGTGGACATAGGCCTTTAGGTCTGTTCAGCCTCGTCTACATAGGCTGTGTTCCGATATTTACTGCCAGTACTGAAAATGTATATACAGGGTGTTATGTAATACCCGCATCAACGCTTATTGTGGGATAGAGTGGACTAGACTAAGTCGAAAAGTCCTGTACCACTTTACAGGTTTTGCAATAGTTAACGAGTTATTAATTATTAAAAATCGCTGTCTTAGGCCGGTCCACTGCCTAATTCAACACGTTTGAATCCATGGTCTCCTTATACATATTCTCCATGCTAAAAACTCTAATCAGTCTGGCCATAAGGAAGCACGCAGTGATTGGTCCGCCATGTTTCGTCACTCCGCGCACTTTATAAAGTGGTAATTATTCAGTTTAGCTCCCTTGCCTCCAAAATCGATGAAATTAGACTCATTCGACGCGACAATATGATTAAAAAAACGCTGAGTCATTATTGATTCGTGTTAACTCGCTGTCGGATCTGGGGAGCGATCACGTGCACGATCGAATTCGATCGGTCGACTTCTCATACGTTTCTACTCTACAGGTTTCATGGTTCATGCTTATTTATTATAGGATAGTTTCCCTCAGACCATAGATTGATCATGTACGAAGAGTGGTATCGGATGGCATATTCCTTCTCGAATTCGAATTCGATCGGTGCACGCGATCGCTCCCCAGATCTTTCGCCGGCTTGTCTATTGGTTATACTAATGAATAATGTGGGATGATTTCTAAATACAAAATAAAATAAATATAATAAGTATAATAAATAAATAAATAAATTAATTAATTAAGTTAAATTAATTTAAATAAATTAAGTAAATAGCTTCTTTCTTTATAAGAGGCTATAACGGACAGAAGTGTCCTGGGGCTCGATTCTTGAATTTATTCGAAGAAGAAACGTATGCGAAAATTCTGCTCTCACAGAAAAGTTGCAAGTTGATTGGCTATTCGCATGGCTTTAACCAATCGACTTGCATCTTTTCTGTCAGAGCAGAATATTCGTATACGTTTCTTCTTCGAATGATTTCGAGAATCGGGCCCCTGTGCTCTTTACATTTTAATGAGAAATTTTTAAACCGGTCATCTTCAGCAATGACAAAGTTGAAAGCAAATGCCGTACCATGTGTAAGTACTAAGTACTAGTACATTTTATTACCTTACAAGATAGATCTCTATCGCCGGCGGTTCGCGACTCCCGGCATCTGCGACTGCGCGGCCGAAACGAAACGGAGAGAGGCGTGCGAATTCGCGGGGGATCAATATGACCGATCGTCGGATGCACGTGAACGTCTCCTTTCGCGCAAATGACGTAACGGCCGCGGTATTATAAGCAGTAAAAATGGCCGGCGCCGTGTGGGCCGAGGACGAGATCGGACGAAAGTGGGACCGCTGCTTCACGGACGCCATCCTCAAGCTGGGTAATTATCGCTACCGTGCCGTCCGCGACGACGAATGACGCCGCGTCCGCGAGCGTTCACTGACAGGTTTCTCTTTTATTTTTCAGGTGGCGGCGTGGCTCTCGGCGGAATCTTCTCTCTGTTTTTCTTCAAAAGTAAGCTCGCCTTGCCGCGGCTATGTGTGCGTGTATTTCGCGCTCTTACACCCCTGTGACATAACTGTATTTATTGTTATAATCGTTGAGTCAATAGCAAGATATTTTGAGACGTAGACACCCGGAGTATCTTCGGTCTGGCATCCTGGAGTATCTAGCGTGTTTCAAGTTTATTTCATTGTTAAAGTATTCATTTTCGTTCAGTGTTCAAATAGTTATCTGTCACACGATGACTTGGAATTTATATATTCGTGTGTCTTTATATATTGTTTAAGTCTCGATGATTAATCAGTATTCACTAGTTTTGTAATTTCTTTGTTAAGTGACGTCATTCGAGTTGATTGTTTTAAGATTCCTTTAATTCGAAATCAAACTATGTGATTATCTTATTTGTAATTTAGTTATTACAAAATAGGTTTTCTTTATCTTGTATTAAGAATCGGTGCTTTTATGGATATAATTAGTGCTATATTAACATATCCTAGAGATTCGACGGCGACACATTTGGATAAGAGCAAATGTTTCAATCAAATGACTTGTGAAAGAAATTGAAGGAAATCTTATACTATCTAGTTTTGTCAAACTATTCTTCAATTGTGTTACGAGACTTGTATATGGATGCTGAATTTTCTCTATAGGAAGGAAGTGGCCCATTATAACCGGTGCTGGCTTCGGATTAGGTATGGCATATTCCAATTGCCAGAAAGATCTCAATGCATCGATACACCAGCAGAGACCTAAAAGTTGTAAACTTGAGAGCAAGAAATAATTAGAGCAAATTGTAAAAAACGAAAGTGAAGTTATTATTAAGATAAAAATTTTAATAAACTCAATATCTTTACCGCAATCTGTCTGTGTATCTTTTGACCTGCGCCTCCTGACCCTGTAGGAAAGTGACACGCAGTGAATCGCTTTGTAGAAGAAATATATTTTTCGACCATTTATCATATATAACTATATTGGTATACTTATAGAAAAATACAACTATATGAATATACTTTTACATGTATCGACAAATTTTAATATGCACAAAGTGTGTAACAGCATATCAAGAAATGTGGGTTGTTCGTCAGTTTTCTTCATCGTTGCTTATAATTACACGTATATCTGTATAAGTTCTTTCATTAAATAACAGTATATATATATATATATGTGTGTATATATGTAATAGAAATGCTGGAAGTCATAGTGCGCTCGAATTTAACTTGCAAACAATAATGACCAGTTACGTCCCGTAGCAGATAAAAGCTATTATAATTGACTTGCATTAATGGACTATGTCATTTCTTATATAACAGTATGCTTGTATTAATACAAATTGCCTATTCAACAGTTATATACTTCAGAATTTCCAAGATTTCTTAATTGACAAGAATATCACGTGAGAAATTACATTTCACAGATAAAAGAATTTAGGAACATTATGAATTTGAAAAGATAAAAATAAATAAACATGTATTTTAATTTGCAATTAATTTACAAAAAGACTTCATTAATTCGATCAAATTTAGTTGAATACGGCGAACGAAATGTATAGATAAATACTAATTTTGGAGATTCTGAGTTCTTTTACACACAGTATATAAAAATTCTTGCGTCTTTATTTGGCATCTTAAGTGTAACTTCAAATATTAAATATGCTGCCGAACAGGCAAGAAAAAAAGTGTTCGTAGAGTGATCTCGCAACTTATGTCTTTAGATTAAACACCATGCCCAGAAATTGTTCGTAGTGAATCGTTATGACGCCATCCAGGTCTGTATCCAACCGTCTAAAAGCAGACGTGAGGGTCTGAAAATAAAAAGTGCAATTGTTACATCTCCACATAACGAGTGCGATAACATATTTCCGAGATTATCAGTCAAGCCTATTTTTCACGATCAAACATGTAGACTCCAAAATATCGGTCAATATTATTTAAATTTATAATTGACGATAAAGATAACTCCTTTAAACGTATATTTAATTCGTGGAGATCAGTTGCTCAATCGAAGCCACGCTTAATGAAACAATTTAAACCTCTAGGCCGGTATTTATAGTCGGATCTTTTATATTCAAGACAGTCTTGAATTTATCTAAGGATGCCGTACAGAACGTCTCATTGGCTACGGAGTATCTAAAGACGATCTCGAGACAGTCATGAATACAAGACCTGACCATTAACCCGGCGAGAGTGTGGCAGGGTATGTCATACCCACCATGTTACTTATTTGCGTGTATTTTTTGTTTGTGACCTTCAAATCTGTTGTTGCTTTGAGTAACTGGAGTTAAAGGGGTGCGGGAGGGGATAGTGGCGTGATCGCAGTGTCGCGGCAGCCTGCGCCTCGAGTCATACCCTGCCACATACTCCTTGTTACATTTTTTCACCACACTCTCGCCGGGTTAACACCTAGACACCTATACTTACATATAGGACAATGCAGCACTGAATGAAGTCGTCGAAGTAAATCGTGCCACGTCCGGCACGATCGTACTTCCGTATTAGCATGTCGATCGTCTGATCGGTCAGTCGGTACCCGAAGTTCGTGAGGGCCGTCTTCAGCTCGTTGCGATCGATGTTGCCGCTGTTGTCGCGGTCAAACGACCGGAAGCAACTCTCCCAATCGGTGACGTACTTCCACAGCGCTCCGAATTCTTCGAAGCTGACCGTGCCTGCCTGCTTTTTGTCAAACATACCTGTAGCAGGATCGGTTTTATCAAACATACCTGTGCCAACAGAAGCAAGGAAACAAAATGACAATAATATCAAAGGACCATGCAAATCGGCATCGTATCATTTTACGACGATTATATATTTGAAGAGGCAATCATTTTACAATGATAAGGCATTGCAAGAGAGTGCGCGACATGCTACGATTGTGAACGGAGCTAACAGTATACGTCCAACTAGTTTTTCTAGCGTCAAGCGACAGGCGTTCGGTCTTTTCCGTTTAGCGCTACAGAAGATGCAAGATTTGAAGAATAGAAGTAACTACAGAGACAATCTATGCATCATAAATTCACATGGTCATTTTCAAGATGTACTGTAAACGTGTCGTACCAATCATTAGACGTACAGTTTCAGGATTGAACGGCGTCCACGTGCCGTTCGAGAGAGCCTGCTGCAGCTCGTCCGCAGTGATCGTACCGGACCTGTCCTTATCCACCCTGATGAAGTCATTAACATTAATTATCACAAGTAAACGTTATTAATAACAATGCTGTTGAATGCGTTTCACTTCAAGTTTTAAATTTATCGACGCGCGATTCCGCCAGGGCGTGGAAACGGAATTTCGCCCCATTTTCGACACAAGTTGACACAAGTAACATTTTATCTTCGTTGTTTACTGGATGTTGAAAAAGGTCAGGCCGACGCTTGTGTCGACTCGTGTCGCTAAATGGAAAGCACCGTTAGATGCCTATTGCGCAGAGTAAAGGAACAGAAAGTTAAAACTCAGCAGAGCAGGTTAAACTGATATCTGAAAACCGAGGATTTCCCGACGTGCAAAAAGAACTGCTAACTGCAGGCGTCCGAGAGTGTTTGGAAACAGGAGATGCGTATTAAGCGACGTCGCGCGACAATTACAAAATAATTCGTTGAAACGTGGCAAAATAATAGAATAATTGTATAGAATGGGACACCGTACCTCTGGAACACGTCCCAGAGAAATTGCTGGCTCGGCATCGGCGAGATGAAAGACATCTTCGCGAGTAATTGGTGAGGAATGTCACGACAAAGTGAGACAACGATGCGATAACTTGCGCGATATTGCGTCTGTAAGGGCGCAGATAATAGCACTGACAGTGACAACTGCGGTCGCGCTTACGCTGAAACTTCCCGAGCGTCACGCGTCACAGTCGAGACACGTCACTTTATATACGGATTCGACTGACCAATGTCAACCGGTACTGCGTTCCGAAATGCGTTGGGTCTGTACTTCGCAGGTGCGCCTCGTCGCACTTTTCGCACTTGAAATGGTACGGGCGTTGGAGGAAGATGCGAAAAGTTTCTGTTCTAAAAGATGCACCCGTTAGCAGTATTGACAAATTGTTTTTTCGTTCTCAAATTACGTTTTCAGGTGTACCGTAAATTAAATAAAGTTACTTTCCTTGCGAAAGAAGGTTCTAGGGGATTGCCGCTCTCAGATTCTCGAGCTGACGCACGTTCGGTAACGCACACGTGGCCGTTTAATATTAAACGGAAAAGAATTTCGTTTGAAACTCGATTGATAAAATATACTCTAATAACTGATAGCAACGAAAAGGAAACGTAGGAAATGTATCTTTCATCTCAACTATTGCGATAAGATTAATAATTTAAAATAAATTCGTTTCTTTGAAGCTAGATATCAGTTAATATCCTCAGAGCTCGTGATATCTCGATAGCTGTTTGTCGGAGGAAAAAGTAGTACAGGACTTTTTTTTACTTGATTTGGTCTCAGGAATATGCTGTTGCAATAGTGCTCAAAGTATTGAAAATTTTGTGTATATTACAATACTATTGATTTATCCTATATACGTAGCTATCATTGATTTTCACGTTAAAGATCTTTCATTGCTCTTAATCACTTATCTTACAATCGTATTTGCCCTTTTTTATTACCTCCTTGCATATCATTTGCAAAGAATTTTATAAAAGCCGTGTTCTCTATGTGTGTATAATTTTCGTAATGTACTTTATTATGAAAAATAGTCGTATAAAAAGATCAGGAGAAAGAGCAAGGATTCAATATGGAAATCTCTCGATGGACTTTTTACACGTGGATATTAAGTCGTTTTAGGTTTATTTATCCTCCACGCTCCGATTGTGTATCTAAGCCAGATAAAGAATAAATCCCTGCCCATCTGCAGCCAGCTCCAAAACGGTATTATCTTGGAGCCCTCTATTTCCGTCCAGTTAACCGCTATTTCAGTCACGGGAATGTTGAGAGTCTGAGCGATGTAGAGCATCTCTACGTCAAATGCCCAGCGTTCAACGTGCAACGCCTCGAATATCGTTCTCGCTGATTTTCTCGTTAGGAGTTTGAATCCGCATTGCGTATCTCTAATGCCTCTGACGCACAGCAGCCAGACTAGGAAGTGAAATCCGTACATGAGAAGAAGTCGGAAGTAGGTTCGTTTGGCAGTCTCTTCTTTCTCTAAATGCGCTCTTGATCCACATATCACCGCGTCGGACGACGCCGTTTTCTCAGGTTCACTCGTGTAATCGACTGATATAAATTGATTAGAATTAGTGACCCTAATATACAATCTGTACTTTTCATTAGAACCGTTAGAGAACTATTTAATAGAAAGAAATTAAACGTTTAATTAAATATATATTTTGGCTCTTTTTCAACTTACATCCTAAAACGTTTGTCAAACTCTCATCTAATTTTTTTAAATCGTTAAACTTGGTAGCACCATCTGCATCTGCGAATAACAAAGCGCTGCCCCTTGCGCTCAGCATACCCTTGATTAAACGAATTAAAATTTAATTTGCATTACAATCTAAAATCATGACTTAATTAAACCCTAGAATTACTAACCAGTCTTACAGCACCACCCTTCCCTCTATTTGTTACAAGGTTCAATACTCTCAGTGTGTTGTATCTTGATGCGTAAGAATGCGCCAAATCCACAGTCTTGTCTGTACTGCCGTCGCTGACTACTATCACCTCGTAAGTCAATCCAGACTTGCTACGCTCCTCCAAGTATCCCAGACACTCGTCCAGCATCGGGGGCACTTGAATATAAGTTAAAGTGCGTAAATCACACATACAAACAACGTCTAGATATAACACTTGCGCAACGAGTTTTAAGTTCTATCCAGGCAAACTTGTATACCCATACAGCACCGAAGCTTTCAGAAACATTTCAGAAAACATTGTTGCAAAGTTTCTGAAATATTTCTGAAAGCTTCGGTGCTGTATGGGTATGCATAAAGAAATTGATTGGTTTACTTCCTTATGCATACACTTATGGCCCAATCAGGTTCCTTACGCATATGTTTGTGCGCTATGCAAGTTTGTCTGAATAGACCCTTACGTCTCTGCTCCTCATTGTAAGCAGGTATAATGACGCTGAGGTGTACGCTCCAGGGATCCTGCAACGAAGGGAACGCCTCTTTTGTCTTTGTCCGACAGTCGAGGAAGAACTTTTCGCTTTTGTCTCTCGAGATCTTGGGGTATCGCTCGCTCGTCGCATATATTATCACAAAAAACTAAAACAGTACAAGTCTGTAAAAGACGCTGCATTGAAGGAACAGTTGTTTGATTGTATCTTACGATTGCGTAAAATAAAATTTTACAATAAAGTCGTTCTTTAAATTGTTGACAACGTGACACGTATTCGATTCAGACAGCAGGTGCAAGATAACCTCGACGTACCAAAATTACAACGAGCGCAGCCAGCCATACTCCGTAACAGTGCGGACATCCTAATGATAACATCTCAACTCGGATATTTAACAATTAGAAAATGCAGGATGAAAAGTACGCAACGTTGGGCATATCTCTACTTTTCTTTCATTTCGACAGCGCACGTCATAACGATACCCGTTAATCTGTGCGTACCACCTGCACTTTCTGCACCACGTTTTCCCAGATTTGCACCGAGAGAACCCTAAAGCCTCCGCTACAATGGCCGCGTTCAGCAGACACAACTGTTGAGTGAGCGCTCAGTATGATTGGTTAATACTTTTAGATCCAGCCAATCATATTAAGGATCTAAAAGTGTTAACCAATCATACTGAGCGCTCACTCAACAGTTGTGTCTGCTGAACGCGGCCAATGATTCTCGGTTCTGCCTACAATGGTGGTAGTCGTAAGAATAATCGACTGCGATTGGTCAATTCTTATCGAGCGACTACGACTACGACCATTGTAGACAGAACCGAGAATCAATGGCCGCGTTCAGCAGACACAATAGCTGCGTTCAGCAGACACAACTGTTGAGTGAGCGCTCAGTGATTTCTTAATATGATTGGCTGGATCTAAAAGTATTAACCAATCATACTGAGCGCTCACTCAACAGTTGTGTCTGCTGAACGCGGCCAATTGTTGTGTGAGCGCTCAGTATGATTGGCTAATACTTTTAGATCCAGCCAATCATGTTAAGAAATCATTGAGCGCTCGTTCAACAGTTGTGTCTGCTGAACGCGGCCATTGGCTACGTTCGGCAGAAAAAGCTGCTTTGCAACTGTTGTAAAATTCA